TATATGATTATAATTATAATTATAATTATTTTTCCATAAACGATAATGCCATAATTAAAATATTATACTCACATTGATATAGTGAGTAATTTTAGTGAAGAAAGAGAATATGAGACACAATAGTAATGTGAATGAATTTTAATTTGCAAATCCATACATAAATGATTTTACTTTAAGTATATTTAATAATGTGTTTAATGTACACAGATAACTTAAACTAATAAAATAAAAATATTATACCATATATTAGTTTTGATGGTTTTTTTATCATTTCAATGTAATTTCATTGTAAAATTATAAAAACGTAGCATTTAAAAGAAAATTGAGTATCAACAAGTTATGTTAAATTGACACAAATTTTGTTTTAAATTGTATCATACTAAAATGACTTTACTGTTGATAAATTGAAGTCATGCAAAATAATAATAACTTTTGTAAAAAATTAAAATCATTTATGTATGGATTAAACTTAATCACAAATCATAAATAAAATTATATCATAATAAGTCAGCTTCAATTCTGCACTGAAATAAATTAAAGTCGGATAACTCTTGATGGAAGACCTCATTTGTCACGACATCAATTTGTCAATGACCCGACATATTAGCATGGCTTGTGCATGTTGGATGTTTTTTGAAAATTTACACATGTAATTTGATATTGAAATTACACTGTTAAATTTCACTACTGTTGATTTCCTAAATAATTTCGACATATCCGATGTTGACGGAAGACCATTTCAAGAAAGAGAAATAAAGAACTTTCTGATTTACAGTGTTTAAGATAAATTTTATTTTCTTGTAAGAGAAATGAAAAAAAAAAATAAACATTTTACTTCTTCTCTTCCATCCAATTCCAACAATTTGAGTTCCACACTCCTCTCCATCGTTTTGCTGAGTTGTTCTCTTCTTTCTACCAAATCGGGTCACTCTTCTTCACAGTACTATTGTATATGAAGAAGTGGCCACTGTTGCAGAATCACTTATTTGCTCTTTTGCTTTTCCTTCAATCATGTCTTTCTCTTCTTGCCTTTCCCATTCCCCATTGACACTCAAGGTACACTTTCTCTTTACTTTCGTATTGCTTCCATTGATTTCTCATTTTACATGCAATTTTTCTTTCACCGTTTTGTTCATTCGCTACCTTTTATTTATCACCTATTTTTTTTTTCCTGGCTTCAGCTCATTTCCCCCCTGCCCACTTGGTTGGAGTTTCATTCCCTACGTTTGAACTCTAAAGTTTTAAACTTTGAATGGTTATTGGACTGAAAGTGGCCATTTTTCGTAGATTTGAACCGCCTAAGCATTACTAACGAATTGGGCATTTGTGAATTTCTTTTTATTCTTTGCATGGTTGTTTGCTTGTTTTGCTTTGCATGGATCTATTCTAGGCGCTTGTTGGTGTAGTAGAGTTAAAAAAGGAGTTTGTGTTTCTGAAACTGGCTTTTCTGTGTCTTCAAAAGCTCTAAATTCATTCAGTTCTGTGGGTTTGTTCAAAGACTCCTTGCGTGTTGAAGTGTCATTCAAATAATAATCTGCACAACCTGGTTATTTCCACTCTAAAAAAGGTTTAATATAATTTATTCGTATATATGGATAGCATAAGGTGTACTTTCTGGGCTTAAGACAAACTGTTCTTATAATTGAGATTCTGTTTGTTTCATTTTGGCAGCCTATAAAACCTTGTGGTTCTGTTGGGAAGGGGCAAAATTTTGTTTTCTCTTTCAGAAGTAATTGGCCTGAGCTTTGTAACAGACACATTGTGGGGAGTAGAAGGTTGCAAGGAAATTTACCAAGGGTCAACTTAAGTGGAGATTGGAGTTTCATAGGAGGATCCAAAATTGTTATGAAACCAAATGCTACAAGATTGGTTCATTATCCAAAAAGGGGTCAAATGCAAGCTTCATGTAACCCTCTTATACTACAGCTTCTCATTTTCAAACTCATTTTGAAAATAACGTGTCTTTTGCTGGACCAAATTTATTTAAGAACCAATTGAAGTCTCTGGTATTTTGGACGTGGTGATACTTTTCTGTGTTTCTGAGCAACTTACAGGTGAAATTGGAGGTTTTGTAATTAGGCCTCTTTGCTCTAAAATTTCTCATTTTGACCACCCTGGAAAATTTCACTGCATTCTGATTTATATAAATATCATTGGCGCACGCTGTTTTTTCATTCATATATTTTGATTCTTATTAAAAAACTGTTGGATTTGTCTTGCCACTAAACTAATATTGTTTATCTCGAAATAGAGCACAAATTAAGGATTTGATTCACAGAATGAATTTACATGGTTAGCTTACCTCTTGTGTCAGTATATGTATAACTTAAATTACTGTATGATATACACGCACATTGAAACTACCGAGAACTATAAATATCCGTGCATTGTCTGCATGACTTCACCAAGTGTTGTTCTTAGTTTAAGCTTAACTAAGTTACTCGGCTTTATGTTTTGAAATTTTTAGGGACCACTTATTGATTTTAAGTTGTCCCTTTTGCTTTAGTCTTCCACAATGTCATGTGGCTGCCGATTTCAGCTATCTGTGCTGTTGTGGTACCTACTTTTTCGTTATTCTCTAGCATAATGTGACTTTGAATTTGATAGCATAATGTGGTTCCTACTCTTTAATGTCGAATCTGAACAGCTTGTTCTAACATGCTTGACACTGGATTATGTTCTGTGCTTAAAATTTAAATCTTGCTACTAGTTCTGCTCTTGAAGCAGATGTTCAATTTCTTGGAAAGGTATGCTAGGAATCAGGTTTCACTGAAGCTATTGAGCTGTGGTCTAAATTTCGTACCATCATTACATTCATTCTGGTTGGGTTTAAAGTTTGCCTTTAACTGTCGATATTTTGCTATTTTACTGTAAAAGCAATCAATCACAATGAGTAATTCTAAATAGCAAAGATGTGCCTATAGTTATCTTAACTACTTAGACATTTTGGTAATCTGCTTCTCTTTGTACAAAGTTGACTGAATATTCCTTTATTCTGTATAACTGATGGTGACTATTTTTTTCGCCTGATACTCACTTTTCTACCTTTATTTGTCAGGCTTCATAGGAACTCAACTTGCTAGCACTGCATTTACGGCTGGAACTGTAGCTGTTCTCCCATTTTACACACTTATGGTTCTAGCTCCAAATTCTGATCTAGTATGTTTCTAACTGCAGTGGAGAAATTTTACTACTCACGAGCACGATTCATTGCAACAATTTTGCTTTATTACATGTCTGTTTAGTTACCATGCAAAAATCATTCACATATATATAATTATTTTCTGTAGTAGTAAATAATCCTTGTGTGGAATTTGGATATTCTTCTTTCTCGTAAACTTTTATTGGGTCTCTGATTTTGTACTTCACGTCTTTCCTGATTCATGTTAAGTGCAAAAATGCAGACCAAGAAGTCTATGGAGAGTAGTCTGCCATATGTAGTGCTTGGGATTCTTTATGCATATTTGTTGTACCTTTCTTGGACGCCTGAGACAGTTCGATTGATTTTTGCAAGTAAATACTTGCTACCAGAGGTGTGTGTGAATGCATTCAGCAATGAAGTTTTTCTTCCCAAAAGAGTTGTATGCAACTGATAACTGTGAATACTTCTTGATGCAGCTGCCTGGTATAGCAAGAATGTTCTCCAGTGAGATGACTTTGGCCTCTGCATGGATTCACCTGTTGGTTGTTGATCTTTTTGCTGCAAGGTCGTGGATTTTATCTTTCTCTTGGTTTCTCATTCTTTACTGAGTTATCTAATCCTATTTCTGGTTATGAATTCAGGCATGTTTTTCAAGATGGACTGAAGAATCAGATTGAAACTCGGCATTCTGTTTCTTTTTGCTTGTTCTTTTGCCCCATTGGGATTCTTACTCATATCATCACCAAAGCCATCACCAAACCTGCTACAAAAGAGGGTCATGGTGTATAGAGGGCACCTGCTTATACCGAGACAACAAGGATTTCATTTCATTTGAATAAAAGTTTGGTGAAGTCATGCCTGAGTTGAACTCATGAATTTTCTTGGTACTTGATATCTGGCACAAGTTGGTCCAAAGGGCCTTGCAATGAGAGGCAATTGAAATTTATGGAAAAAATAGAACTAAATAAGGAGCAACTATCATTTTATTACTGAAAACTAAAATTGATTTTGAATAAACAGTTTAACTGTGCACAGAAAAAAAATTGACTGCACCTTTGAAATGTCTATGTGGATTGTGTAATTATTAACATTTAAAATATTTGAATTCCAAGGTTAGATAAAATGATATGAAAAAAGAAAAACTCTATAGAAACAAAAAATAGAGAAAATTTCTCTTGCTTTCACTGATAGTTAGGTAAGAATGTTTTAAAAGAAAATGTGTATGTACGTAGGTTGAAAAATGAGTCTCCCTGCTCAATGAATCTAATATTATGGTTGATGGCAAGAAGTTGACGTTTGGCTTTCGAATGGTTTTAAGAGCTGATTTATCTACAGGGACAGAATCTTTAATGCGCATTCGAATTTTAAGTGAGTTTAAGTCTTACATTAAATAAAAATAAGAAAATAGAGTATGATATAAAAATGAAAATCCACTAGTCCATTGTTTTAAAATTTTAGACAAAAGCAATGTCAATTTCATTGATACTGTGTCTCTTTGTTATTTTTCACAAGATGAGTATCATAACCTCTGAAATATCGTTGGATTCAATCTCTGATCTTAAAAAGAATCAACATGAGTCCGTTTTTTAAAGGTCAACTTTGTTATGTTTCTAACATTTGATAAACAGAAACATAGTGAAGTGTTAGCATTTGTATCTATCTGAGATTCTTAGATAATAATTAATCTATATATTGTTAATCCTTTCTCTCACATTACTTCATGCGTGGGCATAATACATCTCCCTGGACGTTAGTTAAAACCATTTAAGGTTCCACACTATACTACGACTGCAAAAAGAACCATACAAACAGAGAAGAACTGAAAACATATGAGCAGTGAAACACAAAGTCGGTACGTGTTTTAGTCTGTTACCAAAAGCTACATCGTAAATTTTCAACAAAGTAGGCGTTAAAGCATACATTACGTACAACAAATGATTCAGATCGATCAAACGATATAACAAAAGCTAGGTCAATTTGGTTTTCTTGGACTTAGCTTGAGGCTTCTCAGGAATATCATCAGCATCAACATCATCGTCCGAAGAAGCTTCTAATGACTCATCCGGTACATCATGAGGAACATTATGCTTTGTAATGAAATCCTTTAATATGGTCATGCTTTCCTCTTTCAGTGAAACCAATTGCTCTGATAAAGAACCGTTTTTCGGCTCAACAGAATACGATTCTGAGCCAAGACGCAATGTAGCCTTTACGTGAGGCTTAGCATCACAAAATTGTGTCTCCATCTATGTCTTTTGAACATCAAAGAATAAAAAAGAGGATTAGATACTTATACAGTTCATAGACAACAGAATTACAAAGTAAACAAGAACAAACTGTATAGATACACATACACACACAATGTAAGCATCAGTTGAAGAAAAGTCTTACATAACTATAAATTTGGATTTGGATTTTTACTGAAACACAAGAATAAGAAAACAAAAATATGAAGCTCAAAATAATTTGAAGCATGGGAAATCCCAAGGATCAGGTTCCAATTGGGGAATTCAGGTCCAAGGAATCATTTACATATTTAAATGGAACTCCGAAAAGCAAACGTCTTTAAGCATACAAGGTTCAAGTTTCAGCGGATATCCAAATATCAAAACTAGCAGAGACTACAATGAGTAGCCAACAACAGACATTTCGTCAAACAGTATACCTACAAATAAAAATAACACCTTGCAAGTTTTCAAATACAGAACCAAGCAGAGTGAGTGATTAAGCTGAACGAATAAAAGATGGTGCGGAAAATAATACAGAGATTCAAACAAAAGAAAGACTCAATTATAAAGAAAATTGAGAAAATAGGAAAACCAAGCAAAAGGATTTTTACCTTTCCCAGGGCGTGGGTGGCTGCTCACTGAAAAAACAGAAGGATCGCACACCCTTTTGTGCTTGCTGAATTTACTTTTGGACCAATACATCGTGTCTCGGCCCACTTCAATTGAACATGGGCTTTGAGCTACATATATGGGTCATAAATTTCTTCTTCTTTTTAACTGTTGTAGGTTTTCTCTTTCTACACCCCTTTACGTATCCATACAATTTTGGTAGGGTGCAGAAAGCAATTTTGATATAATTCCATTGTGGATTTTATTGTCTATTGGGTGTTACTCCCTCCACCCCCACACGTCTCTTCCTCCACCTCCCCAATTTTCTAAAATGCCAATTATATCCTTCTAAAATGACAATTATATCCTCAAAAGTTAAAATTTTTTATTTTTATTATTTTAATATTTTAATTTATTTAAAACTTCTGATTTACTTCCCTCTGCACCTCTTCCTCTCTTCCATTTTCGTTTACCTTTCTCTCTTCCGTTAAGCTTCTTCTCCACCTATAACAAATTCATATTTTAACAAATTCATATTTTAACAAAATTATTACGTTTAAAAACTAACCATATATAACATTTAAAATTATAAATTTAAATATAAATTACTGTAAATAAAATAAACAAATAAAATAAAAACGAAACGTAAAAGGAACACTGCCTCTGGACGGATGACATCCTTCAACGGATGTCAACATCCGTTGAAGGCAAAACGGATGTTGACATCCGTTGAAGGATGTCATCCGTCCATAGGCAGTGTTCCTTTTACGTTTCGTTTTTATTTTACTACGTTTTGCGGCTCATGCAAGGATTATAGGCTTGGATATTAAAAGGATTATTGGAAGTATGGGAAGGATTTAGGGTTTAGGATTATTGGAAGGATTATGACTACGTACCTGGAGAGGAACCACGACAAGGACACTACACCATAAATGCACTGCACCACGTACTGCACCGAGAACAAGAAGAAGATTGTTTGATAATTCTTTTCACGATCACCAAGCTTTGTAGAAAAATATTTTACTCATACAAGAAACTACGTAGGTTATCAGTGAAATATGTTATAAATGAATAAAATTAAAAAACAACAATTTTAAAAATAAAATTTTACTGAGGGGCAAAATAGTAAAGGAAAGGTGGAGGAAGGGGCAAAATAGTAAAGGGGAGGTGGAGGAAGAGACGTGTGGGGGTGGAGGGAGCAACACCCTTGTCTATTTTACAGTTGTAGTCTTATTAGTTTGTGACATTGATTTCTTTTCTAACAATTTTTAAGTTTGATTGACAGTTTATGATTTCAGGTGCATGAAGCAATTTCACCGAGTTAGATGTTTTCTTTTTGTTTATGTTTCTTTCACTATAACCTGTGAAAAAATGAATTGCTACAACTAATAATTTCAAAGTCCTTTTTAGTGATAAATAAGTAATATTTTAAATTATATTTTCCGTCATCTATTTTTGTTTCAGTTGATTAAGAAATCTTGAAGATCTTTCAACAACAATTTTTTTTTCTTCTTTTGCATCAAAAGATTGAAGATCCAAACAATGCATTTTTCGGTTTTCAAATTACATAATTTTTTATTGACAAATTAATTGCACTTAATTTCCATGGATGTTTATCTTTTGTTTTGTTAAAAGAATAGAATACATTTTTTGTTAAAAACATTCAATAGTAATTTTTTTTCGTTTGTTTGATTAATCGGATTATATTAAAGAAATGCTAGTAACATTTAAAATAACATATTTAATTTCTCAATTTATTTTATTGCAAATTAAAAAATCGCGAATATACTTTCCCTTTTCAAACTTGGATAAAAGAAAAACCCAAACAACTGAACAATTATTTTAAATATATTTTAGGCTGTGTTCGTTTGGAGGAAAAATACTATTCACGTAAATTAGCGACGATGGATTACGAAAAGCAACGTTGTTCGTTTTGATGGATTTGCGTTGATTTTGTGAGACGAATATCCGCTGATTTGTGGGATTGCACTATTCAGCTCATCTCGCAAATATGGGAAGATTTGCGATGATTTACGAGGGAAAGACTGATATACCCATCTTTGCTTCCATACATCAGCCAAAAATATCAGCCAAAAATAACGAAGTTATTCGATTCTGCACATTAATAACCGGTTACAGAGAAGAATGAACTTTTGCTTGCACACACATAACCAGTTACGCGAACGCGTAACCTGTTACACGCGAACGCGTAACCTGTTACACGCGAACGCGTAACCTGTTACACGCGAACGCGTAACCTGTTACACGCGAACGCGTAACCGGTTACGCAATATATATTTTTCAGTTTTTTTTATAATTATTTTAATATTATAATTTAAAAAGATGTACATTTTAATAAAATTAGGTATATTATATTTTCTAATTTATTAAAAATAAGTTGATTATTTAATTTTTATAATTTTTAAACATTAATTTTATAAATTATTCATAATTTTTTTTCTTTATAAACATTTTTACAATTAAATATAACATTTTATATTACTTTTATAACTAGGGGCATTTGGGTAATCATTAATTTCTACCAATTAAACTAATTTTTAAAATCTATCACATCAATCAAATCTTACACTAATTCTTACAAACTTTACTTCCAAATTCACTCTCAGTTACCTACAAATCCACTCAAAAAAATAACTAAAAAATTACCCTCAAATCCACTCAAATCCATTCAAATCATCTCCCACAAATCTACCCATTAAGTTTTATTTTAAATTAGTACTTTAATGCCATTTCTCTAACATTTAAAATAATTAATTTAATTTAATTTATATTCTATTACACTGAGAAAGGGAGAAGAAGATACAGAAAACAGAGTAAGAGCTTTTGGTGTTATCATTGCTGTGGAGCGACCCTTATCTTGTTGGCGTCAAAGACCGAAGCTTTGAAGAAAAATAGGAGAGGCAATGGCTGTTTGTGTTTCTGGGTCGCACACAATTTTCATGAACCGTTCCAATTTGAAGACTGTTGCAGTTCTGAGCAGAGAGAAGAAGATGGGAGTACAATACGATCTGAAGAAAGGGCAGAGTCGTAATTTCCATGAGCTCCCCTCTGGTCTAAGCATGGAGGTGATAGTGCAAAAGGGTGCAGAAATCAACAAGAATGTTGAATACCCTCCTTTGGTTTTTGTTCATGGAAGCTATCATGCTGCTTGGTGTTGGGCTGAACACTGGTTGCCCTTCTTTTCATCTTCTGGCTATGACTGCTATGCTGTTAGCTTGCTAGGACAGGTACATTCTCAAAAGGGTAAATGACATTTCAAAAAAATTCCCAAAATTTTGTTATAAGTATCTCATCCATGTTGTTAGTTTCAGTGTCAAGATATTGATAAGTTTTTAACTGTAATGGTATTGTTATCTATATGCACTTTCAAATGTGTCATGTTTTGGTGGTGATTTCTCCTTGGATAGGGTGAAAGTGATGCACCTGGCGATTCTGTTGCCGGTACACTTCAGGTGTGTACCTCTTCCATTTCTACTTGAGATTTGTTTATAGCCACCAATTTAGACTCGTACGTACTACTGTCTCGTAAGTAGTGTTTGACGTAGTAAAACTTTGAGTAATTTTCGAAGTATTGAATATCTATCACTTTACCCCTTAGGTTGATGAATTTCACTGAACTTAAGCTGTCCTTAAGTAGTTTAGACTGCTAACCCTACTTAAGTACTTCTTTTATGAGTAAGAATAACGCTTATATGAAATTTATGGTTTAAGCTTTGTTTATCTATTAACTTTCAAAATTTGTTTGATAATTTGGGCAGATTTAATGGATTATGATCATATACTCTTATAGTTTCTTGTGTGTACCATGTTTTGCAGTAGACACACGCAAGAGATGTTGCAGATTTTATCTGTCGAAATATTAGATCACCGCCTGTGTTGGTTGGACATTCATTTGGAGGACTTATTATTCAATATTATATTTCCAATTTAGGAAGTGACAATCTCAAAGGTGCTTTCTCACCCTGGCTTATTTGTTAATTTGTTGAAAATTGTTAAATTAGATGATTCTGAATTTTAGTCTGCTACTATTGATTAATAGTTAAGAATTATTTGCACCTGATGTTTATTTTTGGTACTTTGAACTTGACATGAGAACACCGTGGTGAATGTTGCCAAATAAACATGTGGTATATTTTAGGATTCTATTATAGATGCATAGTTTTAAAAGAGTAACTTTTTGTTAAAAAAATGGATGAGAAAATAGGATTTGTTTACCATTCTCTCACCAAACATTTAGATTATATCGGATCAGACTTAGATTTTGAATCAAACTAATTGATTGAGATTGGATGAGATGATTTTATCTGTCAAAACCCATTTCTATCTATGAACACTCCTAAGGTATACGTGTATAGTTGATGGCAATTGGTCATAAGATTCAAAAGGCAGATGCA